GACGAGAAAGCTGAGTCCTCGGTTGCCATCCAGTTGCCGCATTCCAAACTCAGGCTCCGCACACCTCTCCTCTGTAGGGCCTCTTTTTGTATCTGCTTTTGCAGTGGGGATACTGAGGCTGTAAGTTACCTGCCAGAGGGCCCACAGCCAGTAACAGTCAATCAGGGGAACATGTATAGCTGGGTTTTCTGACTCCCAGTCTGGTTGCTTGAATTGTTATGAAAGCCTCCTCTGTTCAAGGCATGTTATCTCTGGACCCTGCAAGACCCCTGCCTTTGTTCTTGTTGTGTTCTGCCCGTTCCTTTCTTCTTGTTGGGTTCTGCCCATTCCGTTCCCTTACGCTCCTCATCGGCGTCCACTCTGGTGCGTTTGCTGTGTGCACACAGGTGGACCCGCTGTAGGGCTGTGATTGGGTATCTTTCAATTTAGACAAATGGGGTTCTGTTAGGGATCTCCTCCTCGTTCTGTACATGTAGCTTACCCGAGGGCTGCATCTGGCCTTCCCTTGCCGCTGTCGGTCCTGCCCTGTTTACTCCTCTTGCCCCTGGAGATGGGCAGTAGGGAAGCCCAGCCAAGTTCTGTGATGATACCTCGCACCTGTGCCTGTGGGGACTGTGGGAGAGTTTCTCCGGTACAGACTCTGGGTGGGGATGGATGGATGAGTCATTGGGTATGCTCATATTTAATTTCACAAGTACTGCCAGATTGTTTTCCAGAATGACTGTACCAGTTTACACATCCACCGGGGCAGTGTGCAGGGGTTTCTGTTGCCCCATATCCTCCCAGCACCTGCTATTATCAGATGTCTCAGAAAGCTTGCATTTGATAGCCGAGCTATCAGCTCATTGGATTAGCATCTGCGTGATGCTCTTTTGTGCTGCAAACTTCACTTTATCACAACAGCATTTCATGCAGGAAGAGCGTCCCAAAGGAAAAGGGGTTCCTTCTCATTGCAACTCTGTTATCTGGTCTTCGGGAACAAAATTTCCCCAGAAATCCCCAGTAGACTTCCCCTTCTGTCTCACTGTCCAGATGGGGCCCGGAGTCCCCCCTAGGCCAGTCTCTGATGGAGACAACAGGATGGCCACGGCCGCCATGTGTGTTTCTTCCAAGTACCTGCACAGAACTGGGAGTAGCTGAATCAGGAGGAAGAAAGCAGTTCAGCCACCAGTGGACTCTTCTTCCACCCCAGATCTTTAATTTTGCCAGTTTTTTGAGTCATGCTGCCTCTTCTGTACAAGGAATCGTTCCCCCAGCTCTGTGCAATTAGCCGATTGCAGAGACTTTCTAAAGCAATGAGTCAAACCAGCACATGGCCATTGCTTTGGGGATTCGATCCGTCCAACTATTTTGGAATCCGCCGTTCTTCTTTTCTTTTTTTTATTTTTAATAATTTTTTATTGCTATGTTAATCACCATACATTACATCATTAGTTTTTGATGTAGTGTTCCATGATTCATTGTTTGTGCATAACACCCAGTGCTCCATGCAGAATGTGCCCTCTTTAATACCCATCACCGGGCTAACCCATCCCCCACCCCCTCCCCTCTAGAACCCTCCGTTTGTTTTTCAGAGTCCATCGTCTCTCATGGTTTGTCTCCCCCTCCGACTTACTCCCCTTCATTCTTCCCCTCCTGCTGTCTTCTTCTTTTTTTTCTTAACATATATTGCATTATTTGTTTCAGAGGTACAGATCTGTGATTCATCAGTCTTGTACAATTCACAGCGCTCACCATAGCACATACCTCCCCAATGTCTATCACCCAGCCACCCCATCCCTCCCATCCCCCACCACTCCAGCAAGCCTCAGTTTGTTCCTGAGATTAAGAATTCCTCATATCAGTGAGGTCATATGATACATGTCTTTCTCTGATTGACTTATTTCACTCAGCATAACACTCTCCAGTTCCATCCACGTTGTTGCAAATGGCAAGCTCTCATTCCTTTTGATGGCTGCATAATATTCCATCGTGTATATATACCACCTCTTCTTTATCCATTCCTCTGTCGATGGGGAATCCGCCGTTCTTCTTGCCAGGTGGACGTCAGACCTGTTCCCACCCTGGCTGCCCCAACTTAGGTTTCTGTGTGGGCTCCCCGTGGAAGAGATCCATATGGAGACTCTGGGGCAGAACACCAAAGCTCCTGCCTGTGGCGGGCTTCGGAGGCCAAAGGCCAGCTGAAGGCAGGTGGGGAGGGACACCTGTCAGGGGATAGTGCCACTGTAGGCAGCAGCTTCTCATTAGCCACATGCATACTCTGCTAACCCCTGTGTTTCTGCCTAACCGAAGAAATTAATGTCTAAGTGATGCCTAAGAGTTAAAATTTATTGAGTACTTATTCTGGGTCAGATGGTCTCGCAGAGTCCTCCTGACAGCCCTGCCAGAGCATTTCCGCTACGGCGAAAGCCCAGGCTCCAGCCAGGCCACCTGGAGGAGGCCAGCGCGGCCTTGAGCAAGTTGCGTCGCCTCTCCGTGCGTCAGCTTTTCTCATTTGTACACGGAGAATAGTACTTGTACGTTGCAAGTACTGGGTGAGTTAGGAAATACAAAGTGCTTACTTAGAATAACACTGGCACAGTGGACAGGTAGAGTTCACATTTGGTAAACATTAGCTGCCATTTCTAAAAATAAAGAAACCAGAGCATCAGAGAGATCAGCTTACCAAATGTCAGACAGTGATGAGTAGCAAGGATACAATTTTTTTTTTTTTTTTTTTTTTTTTTTAAGGACGCAGTTTGACCCGGGAGTTTCTGACTCGAAAGCTGCCTTTTATCCTTCCAACTATACATCATCGGTAGTAGCTCCGTGGCTCAACGGAACGTTGCCATTACTCTCATTATCAGTAGAATAAAATTTCACCTGAAGACCCAGGGTTGCCTTTTGTAAAGAAACAGTCTCAAAAAGAAAGAAAAAAAAAAAAAAAAGGAAGAAAAGAAACTGTCTGATCACCAGCCTTAAAGGCAGAGTGTAGTGCTTCCAGCAGCAGGTAGACGGGCGGGTCATCCTGGACGGTGGCTGGGGAGGACCAGGACGTGGGGGCCTGAGAGAAGTCTGTGCCCTGCGACAGCAAACGTACAGTGTTCAATTCCTGGTTCTGTCACAAAACCTCACTGGGCCTCAGTCTCCCCATCTTTAAATCAGGTTTCTATTCTATTTCCTCCCAGTAAGGATTTAGGAAGTGCTTTATAAACTGAGCATAGTCAGTGCTGCGTCTTCCAGAATTAGAATTCGACCTGTCACCTCCTGTTTTGTCTCTTATGTCCATTCTCACGTACACACATTCACACAAAGCCTAAGCCTCGTGTCCCCCAACTCCATTTAGTCATGGGAAGTCTCTGGAAACCAGGGCTTTAGAATCTTCTAGAAGAGATTTGTCCTTGCCTAACTAAGCCAAAATAACTGGAGTCAGGAGCCCCTGGGATTTGGGTAGGGTGGGGTAGCTCTAGGGTCAGTCGGTTTGGGGGAGCAAATAAGCAAGGTAGCTCTGCCACCTAGGACGTGCCCTTTTTTTTGCCAGATTTTTCTGCACGAGCATTTTCAGCTGTAGGTGTGCTGGGTGTGAGGCACCACGCGCTAGGTCTGAACAAAGGATCGTAGGCTCAGCAGTGTGGCTTTAAGCAGAAGAGATAGCTTCGTGGCCTGAACATCCCGGGAGGACTTCTAAACCTAACCCTATATATATAACAGGGGACTCAGCTGTCTTTTATTTTATTATTACTTTTTTAATTTCAGTGTCCCTCCCTCTCTTTCCTTCTCTCCTTTTCTTCTTCCTTCTCTTCCTCTCTCAATTTCCAGTTCCCCAGCCCATAGGTCTCCCTTCCAGGAGGCAGTCAACGTCAAAAGAGTCTCGTCTGTGATTCTAGATGGTCCGTGCAGAGACAGCAAAATCCCTCTGTGTGTATACCATTTCTTTCTCTACGGTATGAGGTTGTTGTGTCTTAGAGCACACGAGCACAGTGATAACAGGCCACAGTCAGGGCCAGGAAGGCGGTCTGTTGTCCGCCCCATTTCTCCTGAGTCTCCAGGCCACCATTCCCACTTGTCACTCACCAGCTGCTGCCGTTGTCCTCTCTGTACTCGGGGCCTGTTCCTGGGCACACGTGATGACATGGGGACATCCGTGATGACATGACTCTGGATCCCAGGGTGGTCCAGCCCCGTTGGTGGAGAATCCCTCGGCTTCAGGAGGTCCTGGGCTCTGCCTTGATTTCCTTCTCTGCAGGCAGGAAGCAGGAAGACTGGATGACAATTTGGGAAGGTCTCCAGAAACGTGCCCACCACAGGTGACCCTCTGGGGACCCTGCTTCTCCCCCAAGGGCAGCTTTTAGATCATGTTCTGTGGACTTGGTCACCTGGTGCAGAACCACGCACCTGAAAGATGTCCAAAGCCATTGTTCCTCAAATTTGAGCCACACACTGATCTCCAGGGAACCCTTGTTAGATGCAGAATCTCCTTCAGTTAATCTCTGTGGGGCTGAGATCCTGCACTAATGGTGGGTTCCCAGGTGCTGCCGATGCTGCTGGCCCACACACTGACCCATTTGGAGTAGCAAGGAAGCACCGAGTCTTCCTTCCAGCCCTGTTCACACTCCATGCGGTACCGGATACCGTCTAGAGCACTCCATTGTATAGATTCCAGCTTTGTCACTGGTTAGCTGTTAGTGGACATTATCACCTTTCATATTCCTGACTATCCAGACGGTGCAGGTGTGTGTGTGTGTGTGTGTGTGTGTGTGTGTGTGTGTGTGTGTGTGTGTGTTTTAGGTGAGAGAACTGCTCAGAGTTGTTCAGCAACTCAGCAGAGGTCGCACAGCTAAGGGACATAGAGGAACGTCCCAAGTGGTGAAGGTCATTTTCCATCACTGCTGTCCTCTGTGAGCCTGTGTCCGGAGTGGGACGCATCTTTGTACGAGTGAACAGGTTGGATGGCGAGTGTCCTTTTCTCTTCTCTCCTTGTCTTTATCTCTGAGATTTTAACCCTGGCTTCTGATTTTTAGGAGACCAGAAAACACTTGACAGAGGTAACACTGACCCAGAGAGAATTGAATCCTTATGCCCAGTGACTAGAAGACACGTGAACCTGGAAAAAGGAGCCTAGAAGATCGCCATGTTTCCCCGACATGGGAGAACACCCACCCCCGCCCGCCCCGTGCCCATTACAGTGATTTGGTCACTGCTGAGCTATCTTCGTTTAATGTGGTTTTGACAGAATAGTTGGTCTGGAAGTTTTATTTTCAATTAAACTTCCTTGTTGAACTGCTTTGGTTTTGAAAGGATTCCATTAGGATGGATAATTACATAGCAGTTGCTACAAGGAGATATTTGCACTCAATTTCCGCTCTTAGGTGATTCAAATCAAAGGCTTTTTCTTTTCCTCCCCAGAGTTGTGTGCGACCATCTTTCTCATAGTATAGGCATCTCATGAGTTATTTTTGGAAATCCAAATCAAAACAGCCATTTTGGCGGAGGCCATCTCTAGCCTAGCAGAGTAAGCCATATGTACCAATAAACACAGCCAAAGAGTCGGTGCCTTTGAAAAGCACAAAAACCGTCTCCCTCTGTGTGGATTAAATTCTTGGGGACCATAGACTATCCTTTGTGTCATCATATATTCCTCTGTGAACTCTAAAGTCAAAGACAATTGAAATTCCTTTAAAGTTACCAAAGTTTTGGGGCGCCTGGGTGGCTCAGTCGAGCATCCAACTCTTGGTTTCAGCTCAGGTCATGATCTTATTAGCGTCATGGGATTGAGCCCCGCATGAGGCTCCAAAATCAGCGCTGAGTCCGCTTGGCATTCTCCTCTCTTGCTCCCCCTGTTCACATGCTCTCTCTCTCTCTCTCTCTCAAATAAAAGTAAATAAAATCTTAAAAAAAAAATATATATATATATAAAATTATCAAAGTTTTGTCCATTTGCAAACGATTGCCGTTGCCCTTTTGTTCAAGATGGCAGGCCTTGACAGAATTTTACTAGGGACTGTTTTGGCCTCTAGATCTCTCATGAAACACAGAAATCCCTTTATTTTCCCACTCTGTGCTGTTTCCTTCCTTCCCCAGAACACACGTAACCTACCTCATCCCACGAACCAAGCAGACAAACCTCTCACCCAGTATCAATAAGGGCTCAAATAGTAGAATGGATACATAGATGAATGAATAAAATCCCATTTCCCCCTTAAAAAAAAAAATCTATTACACAAATAGTAAATGAATGTTTTCACCTTGGGGAAAAAAAAAACTTTCCAAATGAAGCTAAAGTTCTTTTTAATCACTGGGTTCCTATCCTTGTTTGTTCATTAGCTCTGCTTGGGTTATTACTTTGGAACACATCCTTGTAGACCTTTCTAATGTACTTATGTATGCACATGTGTACACACACATACGTGTGCACAAGCACGTGGTGCTGTTTTTTAGACCTTTGATAAACTGACCACTTGCCTTTTGCCCCTCAGCAATATATCCAGGAGTGCTGGCCCTATTAGCTGCCTTACTCTCTGTAACTGCCACCTAAGTTTTATTACATTGTGTGGATATACCTTTTATTCGATCAAATGCATAAATTCTTTATCTGTTCTCACGCTCATCGTAGTTCAAGATCCCTTCTCCTGTACATGTTAAGAAACTAACCATGTCCACGGCTACCTTTGGTAGCTGCAACACATTTCATGAAAATCACCCGGCTGTGTTGGAGACTATGCCAAACAGGATCCCGTGAAATGCTAAGGATTGCCAGAGGGACCTGAATTCCCTTGTCTGCAGAAGCCAGGGAGGTGCGCTGTGCACGGGGAACCTCACAGGTCTGCGTAGAGAGTGATGTTAGATACAGTGTTGGCTCTGCTCATAGCCAGCTGAATTTCCCTGGGCAGTTCATTTCCTCTCTATGGACCTTTATTTTCTCATCTGCACAGTGGACTCAGTGAGCCTTTTCCAGCTATTAGACTCTGAATAATAGGGTTTACACAATGCCCCAGGATTCATATACAGAATGTATGAACTGCTTCTCCACTATGTGTCTAGATGGGAGAGGGACAATTTTAGAATACATTTTAAATTTAATTTTAATTAATTAAATTTATTTTGTTACGTATATTTTTTAATTTTAAAAGATTTTTTATTTATTTGAGAGAATGAGCAAGAGCGAGAGCACAGGAGGGGGTGGGCAGAGGGAGAAGCAGATTCCCCACTGAGCAAGGAGCCCGACTCGGGACTCGATCCCAGGACCCTGGGATCATGACCTGAGCTGAAGGCAAACACTTAACCAACTGAGCCACCCAGGCGCCCCGAAATATATTTTAAAAATTTTAATTAGAGATGGAGCCTAGAGCTTTTAGCTGAGTAGAAGTCACAGAGTCCAGAACGTACCGCCTTTGGATCTTACTCTTCTTTCTGATTATTTTATTACCCAGTTCAAATGTATGTACTTTTTTTCCCTTTGCTCTGTGAGACCTTTTTGTTCTAAGCAAGGCCATGTGGTGTTGGGGAAAGAGGTCATGGACCCCCGAGTTCTACTTCCAGGCTTACCTAGTTCCAGCTGTGTGATCTTAGACAAGTCACTAACCTTCTCTGGATTTCCATCTGGTAATACTACGATTTCAAATTAGCCAGAAGTCTGCTTAAAAAAAAAAAAAAAAAAAGGTAAAAACCACACTCGTGTTTCATCTGGCATTTTTGAGCCTCGTCACCTGCAGATAGTTCATCTTGTGAATCGATGGGACACCCTAAAAGGCCACCAAAACCCCTGAAATCACCTTTTTTTTCACATGAGAAGTGTGCAGCTGCCACAGCCCCTGGTGAAGACCTTCAGTGAGTTCCCAGGGAGGCCCAGAGGAGGTTCTGCACAGCCATGATTCATAAGTAGACCTTCCCCCCTGAGCCCTGAAGCTGGTGTTGATGTGTATCCCCTGCTTTGAGACGCAGGACGACACTAGGTCACGGGGGGATTCACACACAGGCCGGGTTTCCCTCGGGATTCCAGTCAGGTTTTCCCACATGGGGCGAGAATTCTGGCCCCTGGCCTTGGCATTACACATTGGTCTGGAGATGGTGTGATCGTGCAGCTGAAAGGTCGAGGTACGTCGGTGTGAAAACTGCGTGGGTGCTGCAGCCCCACAGGGTCTCTGGGGTTCGGTTTCCCTGCTCCCCACACTTTTTCACCCTCCTGTGAGCTTCTGTTTCTGAACATCCCTTGGGGTCCATGTCCCCTGGTTGGGCAGTTCTGTGCGGGCTGAAGTCAGTCTGGGGAGCTCTCCCAGCGCGAGCTCTCCCACCGCGAGCTCTCCCACCGCGAGCTCTCCCAGCGCGAGCTCCTGGGGCCAGGAACGTCACCTCTTCCCCACCTCGGCTTCCTGCCCTGCTCCATCTTGAAGAGAGGAAATGAGACCCTGCAGCAGGTGCTCAACCCAAGCTACCTTCCTTCCCCTTTCCCGGGAAAACAATTTTATAGGCTCTGAGTCTGTAACAGTTTCCAAAAGCCTACGTAAATAGTGTTCACGTGAAGCAAAATGAAACAAAAAGGCCGCCCGGTGAACACTGTCAGTATGATACATCGCTTCACTTAGTGGGAAAAGGGACTGACGGGCCCCAGTCCTTCACCAACCTCACTCTCTCCCGTGAGACTTCTCAGCAGGTGTCTTCCCCACCCCACTCCCGCCCCCCATTTCAGTAAAATACTTAAAAACCTGCTTTGCGTTGTTACAGATAAATGCAGAGCAAGTAACACTGTCTCTCCCCGTATTTGACCCTCCTCCAAGTGATCAATATAGTTTTAATTCACAGCCTGGAAACTTGAAGAATGAGTCAACCTGACCGATGATTCACAGATACTTGATCTGAAATGCTTGATGCTGTGGGGGTGGGGTGGGAGGTAGAATCAGAAATGAATTTCCTGACCCTAAAAGTCAGCATAAGTGAAGAAGCGTGTGGTGCAGGGGTGGGGGAAAGGGATAGTTATCATCTTGTAGGTTGTAGGGATGGTTCCTGCCCTTGGGGAGATGCACTGTGTTGGAAGGACTTAGGGTGACCACATAAACTGGACCACAGAGCTCCAGTTTATGCCTGTCTTTATACAGTTAGTGTGCTTTTCCACCATTAAAAGTATCGCAGTGTGGAAACATGGGGTTCTGGGCAGACTGGACTAGAAGTTCTTAAATCAAGGTCAGAGGTTTCACTTTATTTATACGTGCATCCCCAGTGCCTGGCCTCTAGTAAACAGTAAATATAGCCTTGCTGGGTAGGTAAGTGAGTAAGATTCTTAACCTTCTCTCTCGGTCTCTGTATTTCTCTTTTCCATACCTCTTTGTATGCTCTGCATCCCTAGGGTGACTGTACTGTGTTCTCGATAGTATCTTTTCCACTAAGCCAGAGCTTCAGATGCCAGTTGCTTTGGTTGAATGTATGCAACAGAAGCTGCCTAGCCCTGTGACTTTCAGTGAGTTACCCAAATGATTTACAATTTATCGGAGTAGGAAGAACACTAACTTCCCTGCCTAAGCTGCTAAGCAACTGTGGTGGAACTGAAGCTGGTGCTTTTATTATTAGCTGTCTGGCTTTGCTACCATTCTTGTCTAGAGGGTTTTCTTCCCTACCTAGAGGGTTCCTGGACTTTCAAAAATATATATATTTAAAATATTTAAGAAATTAGAAAAAGAATAAAAAAAGCTATCCATAATAATTACATTATCAAGACACTATAAACCATTTGTGTTGTCTTACATAGTTATCTTAGGAAGCTCTTCATCATTTCCCCATGGGCATTTTTCTGGAAGCATTGTCCATGTTCAGAACATTTTCAACCACCATTGTTTAATTTGCTTGTATCCATGTGTTTGTTACTGAGCAACTCCAGGTTGCTTACTCTTTCCCCTTCTGTAAATGAACTTGTCCTAGTATGTCCTGTCTCAAGAGAATCTCAAAAGTGGAATCTTTGGATCAAAATTTATGAAATTTATTAAACTATATATATATCCACCTAACAATATAGATAGAGATATTTAAATTGATAGACTTTAGGGAAATTTTAGGTTTATAAAAAAAATTGAGAACAAAGTAGAGAGCTCCCCTATATACCAACCCCCTTCCCCACCATTTCCCACATTGTTAACGTCTGGCATTTGTGTGATACATTTGTTATAAGTTATGAAACAATACATTATGATTAACTAAAGCCCACACTTTATATTCAGGGTCCACTCTTTCTATTGTATCATTCTGTGGATTTTTGACACGTGCAAAATGTCTTTTACCCACCATCACATTAT